CAACACCTCCCACTGTTTGTACGAAAGAAGGTCCTCTCCCCAAAATAACGAGGCACAAGGTCCCAGCCTTCCAGGGCGCCCCCTCCTCCCACTCCTGAGACTTTCTGGAGCTCTGTGGTAAGAGCTGATCTCCTCCACACTGGCTTCCCCTCTGCAGGTATTTGGGGTTTGCTTCCTCGCTCCGTCCATGGTTCCTTTTCCAACTGTGTTGACATCGCCCATCTTCTGTTGTCCTCTCTTCTCTCCTGTTCTATTTGCCGTCCTAGGTCTGGACCTCTTTGTGCCACTTCTGTCATTCCAGTGGGTATGGGGAAAGGAAAACTGAGAAATGAATATGTCTTGTAGCAAATGCTGTTAATGCCCCCACCCCGTATTCTCTTGGCCTACCTCTGAGTTCAGCGGCAGCCCTGGTGACCAGTCCCCCTATCCACCGCGAGTGTCCTCTACTGGGGTTTCCTCTGGAGCCCAGACACCACCTGTTCGGCCTAAGTGCGAGACCACCTAGACGCGCCCCAGATTTAGCACTAGTGAGCGCAACCCTCAGCCAGTGAAGGCGAGAGTCTCTGAATTCGTGTTCCGCCTTCCCATTCCTGAAAGGACAACCCTGCAGCACCCCGCGGGATCGAACCTCATTTGCGCACCATGGTAATCTGGTCAGTAGTACGCTCTATTGACTTGATCCCTTTTCTGTTTCACCATGCCCACTCCTTCACTCGTGCCCTCGGGATTGACGGCCAAACCCGCTCCCTGCATCCAAGTCTTTTTCTCAGACTTGCAGGATGCTCCCTGCATCCAAGTCTGCTTCTAGGGGAACCCGATCTGAAACTGTATCCTACAGATACAGAATATTTACTGTATTATACAAATTTACTGTATTATTATCTACTGTATTATACACATTTATTCTTCACGTTTACTCATTTATTGAGAAACTACAACCTCTTAGACACTGTGAAATTTAACTGGTAACTTGTATCATTAGTTATTTCTATGTGTTTATTGTCCGTATACTTTTGTAGGTATACACGTATATGTATATATATTCCTTCCTTCTTTCTCTCTCTCTCTCCCTACCTACCTATCTGCTTATGTAAAATCCATGCTTGATCTTAACATTCGTTGACAGTAGGAACTATGACTTCCACTTACGTGCCTGCAGAGTTAAATACAGTCCAGTGCAAACAGTAGATGTTCAACAAGTGTTTCTTGATTAATCTTTAATTTTTATTCTTTAAAATCTTTAATCTTTAATCTTAATTTTTAGCCTTTACATCCACTGTACATTATTATACACAAAATCCACATATAACACTTATATTAGATAAGTTATAAATTATCCTATTTAACTCACCTTTGCAGACATCCTACCTGCTAAAGCATGGTCGAGGCTCTAAAGTCAGAATGTGGGAAGTTAGTACGATGTGTGATAGGCTGTGTACAGCATATTCTTAGGTGGAAAAAAAAATGAGTTTACAGAAACTAATATTTATTATTGAGAGAGGGGAAGGATTAGGTAGGTGTGATTGGAAATGGTTTCCAGAAGTAGTCGAGGTAGAGGCCTTGAGAAGTTGATAGGATTGAAATAGATAGAGAAGCGGAGGGGGTGGTCCAGTGTTGGGGGTGCAGGGTGAGAAATAGATGGTAATAAAGGTAAAGAAACTTTGAGGGGCGCTTGGGTGGCTCAATTGGTTAAGCATCCGACTTCGGCTCAGGTCATGATCTCACGGTCCTCGAGTTGGAGCCCCGTGTCGGGCTCTGTGCTGACAGCTCGGAGCCTGGAGCCTGCTTCCGATTCTGTGTCTCCCTCTCTCTCTGCCCCTCCCCTGCTCCTGCTCTGTCTCTCTCTGTCTCAAAAATAAATAAAAACATTAAAAAAAATAAAATAAAATAGGGGTGCATGTGTGGCTCAGTCCATTAGGCGACTGACTTCATTCAGCTCAGGTCATGTTCTCGTAGTTTGTGAGTTCGAGCCCCGCATCAGGCTCTGTGCGGACAGCTCGGAGCCTGGAGCCTGCTTCGGATTCTGTGTCTCCCTCTCTTTCTGCCCCTCCCCCGCTTGTACTTGCACGCACGCGTTCTCTCTCTCTCTCAATAATAAATAAACATTATCAAAAAATCGTTTTTAAATCATTATTTTTGAATTGTTGTCATGCTTTCTTCTTTTAGATCATAGTGTTTTACTCATTGAAAAGATTACCAGTCTAAAAACCAAAGTCTAAGCATCCAGAAGACTGTTTCTCCTGGACAGATGGGAAAGAGGGTGGATAGATAGACTTCAGTCTGGTTTGTTTCGTTGAATTTGAAGATAATTTTTTCTTTTATAATGTTAAGCTTTTGTATTAAACGTTAACACAATGGCTAGGGACACCCGGCTGGCTTAGTCAGAGGAGCATATGACTCTTGATCTCGGGGTCATGAGTTCAAGCCACATGTTGGGTATAGAGGTTACTTTAAAATAAAAAAATAAGAAAATAAGCAAATAAAATGATGGCTGTTAGATGACTTTATACATCCCAGATTTGAGATTTAGATTGAGTGTTGTTATGAATATTTCCATCAGAGAGTCATTGTCATTCTGAATTATCTTACGGTCCATATTGCTAAGTGTTAAGGTGACTCTGTTACTATAGAAAAATGCTTTTCCCCCGATTTCTCTCAGATGTAAAATAGAAGCCAATGGGGAAATATTTGACAAAAATCCACTCTGAAGAAACGCGTTTATGTAAACATGGTGAGGTATACATGTGCTTGGCGCTAGTCAGTCTAGCATTCTGCCGGGAAATATATTCGCATCTTTAACAGAAACCTTTACCAACTAGTTACAACTCAGTCATATGCAAATTAGGGATATTTTAGAAGTTATTTTCACCTACCGATTTACTCTTCCTTTTAATGATTCTTTAGTAACTTGATTTGACTTTTTTAAAAACAAAGGCACTACTTTTTCTCTTTCTTTATCCTTGTGCTTCTATTTGTCCTTCTCCTTAACAAGCGCTTGCTGAACACTTCCTACGGGTCACACTCTCCAGTGCTGGGGCACAAAGATAACTCCTAAGAAGGCCTCTGCGGGGGGGCCTGTTTGCCGGGAGGGGCAGGACCGGTGAGAACGAGGAAGTGTAAGGCTGACTACATCCAGGGCCCCAGACAGGGTGTGGTGAGAAAGACAATGACAGGGGAGGGCAAGGAAAGGAAAGAACAGGTTCAGGGCAAGAGAACAGGCTGCTGGAATCAGTTTGAAAAGATGGAAGAGCTTGGAGGTGAGAGGGTTGGAGAGAAATGGAACTCCCCACGGAGGGAGTGAGGCACGTGTCCTGAATTGTCTAATGCTGTGGCGTCCCAGCAGCCATTTCGCCCAGGCTGGCCTCCAACTGTGGATGAAAATGCGTTTCTGTAATGACTCAGGGCCTGACAGCGGTGATGATGGCATATAAATGTGCATTGTGAGGCTGTGTTGTGTGGTGTGCATGGTGATACGTAGACACTCGATAGTGAATTACACAATTCCTGTATCCTCTTCTGGGAGCTTCTGCTCAGTCTTCCTTTTGCCCATTCCCAGCCCGTGACGCACTAACTTCCTCAACTGTATCTCTTAAAATACTTTTCTTTCTTTCCATATCCAACTTCAGGTAAAACTACTTCAGAGCAAGCCCTAGCACGGAGTGTTGGTAACAGTTTGCGTCTAGAAATTTGGACCAGGCTCATAAGTCATAGATTCAGTAGGTCTTCCTATATCAGACCTACCTTAAATATCAGCTCCTTTCAATTCCTTCTATTTGTAATAAATATTATTTGTCCCTTATATCCCTGGTACTTTGTCATATTCTAGTTACTGTGGTGATATTAATGAATGAAATGGATAAAGATTCTGCCCTGACGAACTTACATTTTGGTAATCATCACAACGGCTCTGAAAGATTGCTTCTTTTCTCCCACATAGACAAAGGATTCTGCTACCGAAAGCAGGGTTTTCTTTCATGGGCTTTGTGTAGACACCAGGGCAAGAAGACATTTTTTTATTACAGGGGAAAACGGCCTTTTTTTTTTTTTTTTTGGTAGCTGGGGGTTCTGTAGGGATAGACCAGTATGATATGGCATATTTTCTCTAGTTTATCTTGTAAAAGATGAACGTTTGAAGGTTCTAAAAATATAGTGGTTTCAGAGACAGATAAGTGGGTGAAGAGAAAAATATTTAAAGACAAGTTATTTGAAGCTTTCCTTTCCTTGTGCTTCAGTGAGGAGAGAGAGAGAGAAGCGGCCACCAAATGACTAATGCATCAGTAATAGCTGGGGTATACTTTATATAGGCAGAAGAGAAATATAGTAAGAAAGTAGAAACAACTAAATAGAGAATCCTGTTATAGCATCAAAAAATCCGATTTAGGAGTGCCTGGGTGGCTCAGTCAGTTGAGCATCCAACTCTTGATTTCAGCTCAGATCATGATCCCAGGGTTAGAGATCGAGCCCATGTCAGGCAAATGTGGAGCCTGCTTAAGATTCTCTCTCTCTCTTTCTCTCTCTCTCCCCCTACCCAGACCCCTTCTCCTGCTTGCTCTCTCTCTCTTTCTCTCTCAAATTAAAAAAAAAAGAAAATCCATTATTAAAATTACAATGGATTTGGGGGCACCCGGCTGGCTCTATCCGTGGAGCATGTGGCTCTTGATCTCAGGGTCATGAGTTCAAGCCACATGCGTGGTGTAGAGCTTACTTTAAAAAAAGGAAAAGAGGGGCGCCTGGGTGGCTCAGTCGGTTGGGCGTCTGACTTTAGCTCAGGTTACGATCTCACAGTCTGTGAGTTCGAGCCCCGTGTCCTGCTTCGGATTCTGTGTCTCCCTCTCTCTCTGCCCCTCCCCCATTCATGCTCTGTCTCTCTCTGTCTCAAAAATAAATAAATGTAAAAAAAAAAATTTTTTTTAAAGGAAAAGAAAAAAGAAAATTGCAACGGATTTGAAACAGAGTGTTTTCAGTTGTATTTTTTGATCATGGTTCTTGTTATTTTACAGACGCTGTGCCTACCCCCTCCGAAGAAAGCCCATCTCTGCCGACAAATGTGAGTTTGGACAAGAAACCAGACAGCAGTACCATCACAAACACCGTAACCGAAAGCCCTTTGCAAATGCCTCTGGAAAAGCAGTCAGCTGCAGAAAGCTTTGACACATTGACAACTTCACCATCGTTTTGGTCATCGAATAAGGAAGAGTTTGTCAGCCCTAATTTAAGGACGTCAAAGTCAGATTCTACCTTCTGTAACCAGGCCTCTGTAGAGACGCTCTATGTCTCTCCTTCATTCAAAACATTTGACCCAGTGAAGGAGATGGTAAGCAATAAGGACTACCAGAAGCCAACACAATCCAGCATTGTCCACGTGGGTGAGGAAAACCTCAAGACTGCAACCACATGGGGTGAGTCTGCGTGCACGCACATGCGCGCGCGCACACACGCATGCACGCACACACACACACACAGCTCTTCTGAAGTGTTCTTCTGTTATTTTTCTGTGCTTTCTGTCTCTGTTTCTGGTTCCCTTCTTTCACTCTCCATCCAGTGGCGTTAAAACCTACAAGCCAGAGAGAGGGACTTCTCATTTGGGAAAAAGCACCCCTTTTATTAAAGAGCTGAAAGGCAGTTCATCCCTGGGGGTCGCAAGTACTTGTTGAAGCACAAGTTCTGAGCAGTTCTGATTCCGAGTAAATTAGAAAGAACTAGCATTAAATAAGAGCTTCCTGTTAGGCGTTTAGGTTACCTATGAAGACACTTTATAAAAAGGAATGAGTTACTATGTATATTGATGTGTAGACACACCATGTATGTGTGTGCATACGCGGCCTTTTTTTAAAGTTGTTGTGTACTGATTGTCCCCCCAAAAAATGGTGGGGAATCTCTTCTTTATTCTGTCCTATAAAACACTAAAAGGGTTGCAGTATTCTTGGGCCTTGATGGTAAAGGAGAAAGCCAATTGGGAATCCAGATTGTTGGCTATCAGTTACCAAAGCCTACATCGTAATTATGCTTTCTTCTTTAAAGTTAATTAGTAAACGAATAAGTTGTTTGTGCACTTTTCCAAGACTGAGTCGTTTTATTGGTTCTTATGTACAATAATGCTTACTAACTCATATAACTATAAAGCTTTTAATATAAATACTCTAAACTGCCTCAATCTCAGGTCAAAAGTACAAACAATGGAAGCCAACATGGTGAGGCTAAAGAAATTTACTTTGGTGTCAGTAAGGTCAGTGAATGATAGCACAGTCCCCTTGCTGCACTTTCCAGAATTTTAGGGGATCGAATAGCCTAAAAATAAACTGATTCTTACTTCTGTCACCAAATTAACTGTTCTGCGGAGACTGTTGATGTGGAAACCAATTAGTACCGGTTACAATGACTGTGACGGTTTGTGTGCGTGGCTGTCCCCCGGAATGTTGTTACTATGAGTTCATTTCTTTCACAAATACCACAGAAAGATCATTGAAAATAGTTTTGGCCACTGCCTGTGTACCAAGTATACTTAATTATAAAAATTAGCTGGAAGTTCCTCTAAAGCCAGTGAGCAAGGAGGACTTTTGCTTCCATTTATAATGAAGTAGGTAGTATTGTTCTAACCCTCCCACCGAAAATACTGGTTAAAGCTGGAAAACTATTAAAAGCTGGTTTGAAGTCCTGGAAAACAACCGAGGTAGAAAACACATGATGGGTCAAGATCCTAGGAAGGGGACTGTGACACTGTGATATAATACGAAATATATATTAGGTCTTCATCCCTGGTTCCCGGCACTGAGCCCCCTAAAAACCCTTGGAATTTCCTGAGTGATAGGAGTGAGAAGAGTCTTTTTGTTATTTGTAATAAACCCCTTCCTTCCATACCTGGGTTTATGTTGAGGTGCGTCTTGGAGAATGGGGGCTCGTTGCCGGAGTAACCAATCAGGCCAGTGGAGGGCTGGAACTTTCAGCCCCACCCACTGACCTCTAAGGAAGTTGAGTTCATCACCAATGGCCAATGATTTGATCAATCATGTCTCTGTAACGGAACCTCCATAAAAATCCCCAGACGGTGGGGTTTAGAGGGCCTCCAGGTTGGCGAACACGTGAAGTTTCTGGGAGGTTGGTGCACCCGGAGAGGGCATGGAAGCTCTGGGCCCTTCCCCATACCTTGTCCGGTGCATCTTTCCATTTGGCTGTTCCTGAGCTGTATCCTTCCTAACAAACTAGTAATAGGAAGCAAAGCACTTTCCTGAGTTCCGTGAGCCATTGTAGCAAAGTACCGGCCCCGAGGAGGGGATCATGGGATCCCTCAATTTATAGCCGGCAGGTCAGAAATATGTGAGGCCTAGACTTGTGAGTGGCAACTGAAGTGGGGGACGGTCTTGAGGGATTGGGCCTCTCATCTGTGGTGTTTGCACTAACTCTGGGTAGTGCCAGAATGGAGTTAAATTATAGGACACCCAGTTAGTGTCCCCAGAGAATTAGAGAAATCCTTGGTGTGCAGAACCCACATTTGGTGTCAGAAATGATGTGAGCAAAGTAGGAAACTAGTTTACTTGTAGTTGGCCCCGCATTCACCTCAGTTTTCCCACCATGGATCATTTGCCTATTCACAGAGCAGGATGATGGAAACTGAGGGAAAATCAGAGGCCTGGGCTCTCCACTGTTTACTGAGCTTGAGAGATAGGATTGGAGTTTGGGGCATCCCCGGTGGCAGGGACTCCAGGGGCGAATATGCCAGGAGAGGAAGTCACAGAGGAGAAAGCCCCGAAGTCTTTGTGCAATTTCTTACTGAAATACCTACTCCTGCTAAGTTGCACACGTTAGGGATGTGATGCCAAGAAGCTAAGGGGGAGGCAGCTTCTAGAGGGCAAAGGTTCTCATCATCTCACGGCTCTGGGAGACAGACAGAGGGTGGAGCTCAGGGTCTGCCAAACTGGAGTGGCTCTGGTGAGTAACGTGCTCTCAGCTGGGACCTGCGACAGGCCACGCCCCAGGCATCACAACTCCCATCTAGGGGCGAGAACAGACCAGAACTAGAACAGCCCTCACAAATGCCGAAACCCAGCTCCAAGTGGAGCAAAGGGATTGTATTGCGTTCCATCTGTCTTCTAGAAGACAATGAAGCCCTTGCTTAAGAGCTCCTATAATTTCTCATGCAAAGTTTTTGGCTTTTAAAATACACGAGAAAAACAGACAACAGAAGCAGAACCACAGAGAAGCTAGATACTGACATTGTAAGATAAATACTTTAAAATAGCTGTGATTAACATGATCAAGAGCACAGAGGGAAGGATGGAGAATTTCACCAGAATACAAGTATCTGTGAAGAAAGAATGAAATGAGGGGCGCCTGGGTGGCTCAGTCGGTTGAGCGTCTGACTTCAGCTCAGGTCGTGATCTCGCGGTCCGTGGGTTCGAGCCCTGTGCCGGGCTCTGTGCTGATGGCTCGGAACCTGGAGCCTGATTCTGTGTCTCCCTCTCCCCCTCCCCCCTTCATGCTCTCTCTCTCTCTCAAAAGTAAATAATAAACATTAAAGGATTTTTTTAAAAAAGAGTGAATGAATGAAACGAAAGTTCCAGAGCTGAAAAATACAGTAGCCAAAATTAAGGCCCTGAGGGCACTGTTCAGTCACATGGCCTGAGGTTATCAAAAGAGAGCTTCGGTACTGGCAGAGGAGCTGGGAAGTCATGTGGGCAATCCTAAAATACGTGGGTAAATATAAAACGCGGTATATTTTATTTTTATTCTCACTCTTAAAATGCATGTGACTGTTTAAAGCAAACTTTTCCTACTGTATTTTGTTTTAAAACAGTAGATGTAATATATATCACAACAGAGGACAAAGAATGGCTGGATTGCATAGTTGTTAGCGGCTCAGGTTCTGGGATCACACTGCCTGGGTTCATAATCTCAGCCCAGCCACTGGCTGCGTGGCCTCTGCGTGGCGCTGTCTTCATCTACGGAATGGGGCCGCCGGAGGGGGTCCCTGAATTCGCAAACATCAGGTGTTCAGGGTAGGATCTGGACCTGGCCAGTGCCGTAGAAAAGTTTGCTATTTTTACTCCAGTGTCTGTGTTTTTGTTTTTAATGTTTATTTTTGAGAGAGAGAGAGAGAGAGAGAGAGAGAGAGAGAGAGGGAGAGAACAAGTGGGGGAGGGGCAGAGAGAGAGACACACACAGAATCCGAAGCAGGCCCCAGGCTCCAAGCTGTCAGCACAGAGGGCTGACTTGGGGCTCGAACCCACGAACCGTGAGATCATGACCTGAGCCGAAATCGGACGCTTAACCGACTGAGCCACCCAGGCACCCCCAGTGTCCATGTTTTTAGTTCTGCTTTTATTTATTTATTTAATGTTTATTTATTTTTGAGAGAGACAGAGACAGAATGCGAGTGGGTTAGGGGCAGAGAGAGAGGGAGAGACAGAATCCAAAGCAGGCTCCAGGCTCCGAGCCGTCAGCACAGAGCCCGACACGGGGCTCGAACTCACGAGCCGTAAGATCATGACCTGAGCCGAAGTCGGACGCTCAACCGACTGAGCCACCCAGGCGCCCCTTTATTTAGTTCTGCTTTTAGAGCCCCGAGCCCCCAGCCCCCTCCCAACCCTCCACATCCACTCCGGTTATTTCCAAAAGGACCCAGGAGTTCCTCGCTTATTCTCAGGAGCAAGGAAACTCCTATCCTTCCAGAAAGGGCCTTGCAGGCTGAGGAATAGAGCCCAGCTGGGACAGACCAAAGAGATCCTAGGGAGCTCCAGTTCATTCTCCCCAGAGCGGCCAGAGGACCTGACGACTGCTGCTCCCCCGCTGAGACGGCAGACCTCTCGGACTGTCGCCCTGTTCCTGAAGGTCGCTAGCCTTCCACTGCCCTGCGCGGTCTCGCTTCTGCCTCTCCCCGCAGCCTGGTGATGCTTCCGCTTGTCGAGTAAACCAAATCGCTTCACCAGCTTGGCGCCATTGTTCCCTCAGACCAGAACGCTTCCCACCCAGCCCTTCCCCGCTGCACTCCTCCTTCAGGGCTCAGCTTCCACAGGATTCCACAGGATTCCCTGACCCCCTTGATTACTTCAGATCCCCCTCCCACTCTGTGTTGTCTTGGTACCCGTAATTATCCTTCTAGCACGTACCGCCATTCGAGTGGGATGTGATTGCATATCCGTGAAGTTGTCTGATGTTTCCCCCACTCCCCGAGTGGGATGGCGCCTTCCTGAGGGAGGGACCACGTCTGCCTGTTGGTTATTGAAGCCCCAGCACCGACCACAGTGCCTTGCACACAGTAGGTACCCAACATTCAACAAGTGAATCAAAAGCAGCTTAGTAAAGCAGCCATGGAGAGTGTGCGTGAAGAAGTAATGGAAGAAAGCACTGGGAAATGACGCCAGGACGGATGACGAAGCGCTGTGTGTGCCAGGTTAAGAAAGTT